ACAAAAAGTATTTTCGAAGTTGTGTTTACAAAATGTGTTTACAAAATTTTTTTGAAATATCTATTTAAAAACTTATTTTTAATTAATATTTTCAAAAACCAATTGTTGAATTAAAAATTTTATTTATGTTGATCATGCATGTCAAGTTTTATTGATCTAACACTTATAATTCTTTGATCAAAGAAACTTCATTTATTGACTTAAATTTAACAATGGTAAATTTCTTATAATCAATGAAGTGGTTAGACTTATTAGAACAACTTGAAAATCGACATACATGAACTATATGAATAGACCTTTTAATCTAATAATTAGTTTGTAAAAATATTAATTAGAAGATGGGTTTTTATGACAGGCAATCAAAAAAAGTTTTAAAGAAAGACAATTTGTAAAATACTTTTTTCTATATATGTGGAAAAGTGTTTACAAGTTGTCCTCATAATATATATTTTTTTAGATCAGTATTAAAACTCATTTTTTAATTAATATTTTTAAAAACTAACAATTGAATTAAAAGTTTTATTCATATAACTCATGCATATCACTCTTTAGATATATATATAGTTAGGATCCCTTTACACACAAATATTATATACCATACTTAACAAAATTTTAACAATTTATCTCTTTACTTTTAACAGTTGAGATTTTTCATAACTTTTTAGATAAAAAAGTATAATTATATTTAATAAATATGATAAAAATTAAATAAGTCTCAATCATTGAAAGTGAAGAAAATAATGATTAACTTTTTAGATAAAAAAATATAATTATATTTAATAAATATGATAAAAATTAAATAAGTCTCAATCATTGAAAGTGAAGAAAATAATGATCAAGATTTTGTATAAATGTGGTGTGTAAAATTAGTGTGTAAGTGATTTCCTAATGTGTGTAAGTGAATTCCTAATAAGAGTAACAATTCATTTACACACAAGTTTTATATATCACACTTACATAAAATCTTAATTATTTCTCACTTTACTTTTAATAGATAAGATTTATCAAGACTTTTTAGATAAAAAGATAATTATTTTTAATAAATATAATAAATAGTGAATAAATCTTAACAATGAAAAGTGAAGAGATAAATGGTTAAAATTTTGTATAAGTATAATATGTAAAAATTATGTATAAATTGTAAAAATTATGT